AATCCTGGTGAATGAATCTCAGATAGGCAAAGATACAAGAGCCTCAGTCCAGGAATATTTGTTACTGCTATTGTATCTTTGGATGTTCACTGCTGCCATTTTTTTCTGGTATCTTGCAATTAATGCAGTATGATCACCTTTTGGAAATATCCTGTTTTATTAGGCATTTTTATCTGTGAATTATTATGAAGATGATTTACTCCTAAGCTGTACCATCTAACTTCTAACCGATTTGTTAGAATGATTTACAGGTTATTAAACAATGTCTGGTTGTGTATTGAATGTTTAAGAATCCAGTAGTTGTTCATCTGTCAAATCTGGATGTCTCAGGTGGTCTTTGGTATATGCTGTAATCACAAAGAAATAATGTCATTGAAGAAATGGATGCTCTAGAAAGGCAAAATTAAGCAGGCAAATAACAAAAGAATAATTTTCTATGTCCTTAAATAAGCTTCCAGCAGAAGGTGTGGCCCAGATTAGAGGTAGATTTTCTCTAGCTCAAATGCTCTGAATTAATAGTATGTCTTCCTACTTCAAGATCCAGATTAGAAGTGGATCTTCCTACTTCAAATTAATCAAAAACCCCTGTCAATGTGTGCCCTTCATTTTTTTTTGGTTTTTAAGTGATTCCAGATATAGTCTAGTTGACAACAAAGAATATTCATTATATATGGGAAGCTGAGCCTTAAATGCTTATGTATCTTTCTATTTAGATGTGGTGTGGATATAGGTTGTGAAACTAAAAACGGCCCATTGAAGGAGGAAAAGGGGAGGTGAGGGGAGAAATATGATGCATGAGTCATGAAAATTGAAAGTAGTGAAAGGTACAGTGGGAAAAGTGATCAAAGGGAAACAACAGAAACAAATTATGTTTGAAAATGCCATGATGTAATGTTATACTTTGCTTTTGAGTTTTGCAAATGTCCAAAAAATATAATTAAGGAATAGAAAAACTGTTCATTTAATAGAACATTTACTGCCAAAGCTTGAGAAATGGAGTTGTGAGAATATAACTACATAAAAGCAGGACAGATGTTGCAACTATTTTTAGCTCTTGGGAGGCAGAGACAGGATAGATAGAAGAAATATAATCACCATGCTCTGGGTTCAGTGAGAGTTCCTATTTTCAAATGTTAATTGGACATGATGGAGAATAATACTAATCTCCAAAGTCGGGCTTCATCAAATATATGCACACAAATATATGTGCACCTATATATGAATGCATCACATGTGAGAAAATGCATACACAGCACACAAATATCAACAAGCAAACAAAGATATATTGACACAAACAAAACCATGAGAATTTAACATCCATTCCAAAGCACAAGAATGCCCCAGGGCAATCAGACACATCTTGAGAGTACAGCCTATCTCTGTCTTTGCTTTTTCTCAGCAATAAGAATCATCTTCATGGTAATTTAAGAGACTGCTCTGAGACTTCATATTTCTTTCACAACCTGGAAAGAGCTATTCTTCAGCACTACCTCTCTATGCTGATTTGGAAGAAAATGACCCCCAAAGGGAATGGCATTATTAGGAGGTGTGGCTTTATTGGAGGAAGTGTATCACTGTGGGGGCATATACTTTGCAGTCTCTTTTACTCAAACATCCCTCACTGTAAGATTTGTTGATTTCCTGTTGCCTACAAGATGTAAAACTCTCAGCTATTCCTTAAGCACCATATCTACATGCATGATGTCATGTTCCCTGCCATGATGACAATGGACTGAACTTCTGAAAATGTAAGTAACTCCCCTCAATTAAATGTTTTCCTTATAAGAGTTGCTGTGCTTGCAGTGTCTCTTCATAGCAATAAAGCCCAATCTAAGAGGGTGCTGAGGTATTTTTGTGCTAGGCCTGATCATGATTGTTTGGAGGAATTTTGACTTTAATACTTTGAGTTATGAAAGCAGTGGAATGCTTTAAGTGCTGCTTAATGGTCTATACTAGATGGAGCATGGAATGCAATTATGATAAGAGTTATTTGGATTATGGGAGTCTCACTTCAGGGATATCAGAGGAGAAGAATTTTAACATGTTTCATTGAGATTATTCTTGTTATGTTCTGGTGAAAAAAAAGTGGTCACTTTTTGCCCTTGTCCAAAAAGTCTACCTGATACTAAGGTGCAAATTTTTTGATGAATTCTACTAGCAAATGAAATTTCAAATGGCCTACTATAGACTCTGTTATGAGGCTTTTAGTGATAACTGTATTGAGGACTTATAATGAAAAGGATCACCTGAGCAGGGTAAATATCAAAATGTAAATTTTGAGAAGAAAAATAGTATCAGGATGTGGGATGCAGCTAAACCCTATGTTCAAGAAGATAAACAGTTTAACAAATGGAAGAAAGGGAGTAGTGACTTCAGTTCAAGACCTCACCCAGCCAACTGTCTTACTTGTGAAAAGGAAGCTAGTAAAAAGCTTAGTCAGGTGTGGTGGGCATATCTTTTATCCCAGCATTGGGAGGGCAGAGTCTGGCAGTTTTATGAGTTTGAAGCCAATGTCTCCTAAAAGAAAAGTTCAAGGACAGTCAAACTTAGGAAGAAAAGAATAGTAGAAAGCTGATGAATATGTAGTTAGAAAAAAGGGCCCATGTTTCAGGTTCAATAATCAAGAGAACTTGGCAACTTTGGCCACGTGGTTCTAGCTTTAGATTTAAGAAAAGAAGTTATGTCCATTCCTCCCCTACTCCCTTCTCTCTAACCCTCTCCCCTTCCATCAAGCTCGGTTGACCGGGATGGGGGGAAGGGAGGAAGGATGAATGTGGGATCAGGGAAGAATATATTTCAACTAAGGGAGTCATATTAGAGTTTACAGGAAACTTGATTATATATGGGATCCCAGGTCCAAGGAGAGATCCCCAGATTGTTCTCTGGACAGAGGGGGTGCCTGAACCGGCCTTGGCCCGTGACCATACTGATGAATATTTTGCTTATCACCATAGATCCCTCTTCTGGCGTTGGATGACGATACAGATGGAGGCCCGCGTTGGAGCACCGAACTGAGCCCCCCAAGATCCAAACGAGGAGCAAAAGGAGGAAGAAAATGACGAAGGACTGCGAGGGATACTATCACCCACTGATACAAGGGGTCGGATCTAATGAGAGTTTACCAAGGCCAGATGGACCGTGACTGAACGAGCATGTGATCCAACCAGATTCTCTGAATGTGGCCGGATTTTCTGAATGTGGCTGGCCTGCAGTCTTTCCGAGAAGCCATTGACAATGACACTGGGACTGGTTTCCTCTGCATATACTGGATTTTTGGGATCCAGTCTGTTTGGATGCTCACCTTCCTGGACCTGGAGTTAGGGGGGAGGAACTTGGACTTCCCACAGGGCAGAAGACCCTGACTTCCCTAGGGGACAAAGAGGGAGGAGGAGAGGGAGGGGGGAGTGGGAGGGCGTTGGGAGGAGGGGCGTAAATGGAAACTTTTTATAATTTAATAAAATTACAAAAAAAAAAAAAAGAAAAGAAGTTATGGAATGAAGCCACTAAGGCCAGGTATGTGTCAGGGGTATCCCAGAATGGAGGTCTAGTACAAAGGGCACTGTGTGAAGCTGCGAAGTTAAATACTGTGTTGATTTGGCTATCTTGTGTACAATGTGAACAGCACAAATCCTTCTGTGTGTTAATGCAGATAAATATGTTACGTTTGAAAGTTTTTAGTGCAAGGGTCTCAGACAACAATAAAAGAAGCTATCCCCGGTAATTTAGTTTCTCAGAGTCCCTCTGTTTCAATTTACTCAGAATTCTGCATCCAGAAGAGATTAAAGCTTACTGGTCCAGTCTTATTCAGGAGTTCCAATAAGCCCATTTCAAAGAGATTGGACAACAAATATTATGGCTCGTTTTTCCAGGAGTTGAGCATTATCTCGATTTTATCAGGTTCCCTAAAGATGGCACTGACCATTAGCAATAGAAAGCAGTTTAGAGAACACAACACCCACATTTCAAGGAGGTGTTTTTGATCATTCAGAGAATTATGGATGCTTGTCATCATTTAGGGTGTTTGGTTGTAAATGGTTACTAGTCAAGATGAAGGAGGAAAATGAGTATGGGGTTTGGTTCAAGTATCTCTTTCTGAAAAGAAAAGGTGGAGATATGGGAAGGATAGGATAAAAGTAGATTAGAAAATCTACCTTTAGAATAAAAGCAACGATTAATCAGAAATATTTTAAGTTTTTATGAATTTTGTATATTGATTCAACCTTAAGGTTGTTTTGTTATAACATTTTGTGTATATGTTTCTATTCATTTTATAGATTTTTGTACATTACTACAAACTTAAAGTTATTTTTATTTTAATACAGTATATATGTCTTTACTCTTGTTTAAATTATTTTTGTACATTGATACATATTTATGCTTATTTTTGTCACAAAAGACTGTATATATATTTATACCCTTGTTTAAATTATTGTACCTCTGCAGTTTTATAGAAATGTAAGGTAATCCTTAATAGTTAATATTATTTCCTATTTATTAATGCCTAAGGAAGGTGGGAGAGTTGATCTGTGATAACAAGAGTGGGAGATGTGTCCCTGACCCCACAAACTGTAACACTCGGGAAATCTAGCCATGTATATCTCCTGTGCAACATAATAGAGCCAAGCTGTTAATACAAGAATGGGTGATCCAGATACAAGGAACTAAGCATGGGAGAGCTGTTACCATTATTCATCTGTCTTGTGGTAGCATAGGCAGGGTAACAATATCTGTTACCTCCCACCCATCAATGCCTAAGACATGTGAGAAAAACTGGCTCTTGCCACAAGAGTAGGAGAGCTGTCCATGCCCACGACCGGCTACTATACTCAGAGAGCAGACTCTGAAACTTTCCTGGGCAAAACAATAGAAGTAAACCTGTTGTGGAGGTATGTGTGAGCCAGGCCTGAAGTAGAGAGAATAAGCAAACTAGATCCACCTCTCATTTGTCATATGATAGCATGGCCTGGGGAGAGATGCACTTCCCCCATTCTTATCAATACCTGAGGCAGGTGGGAGAGCTCTCTCTGTGGTCATAAGAGTGGGACAGCAGTTCCCGACTTCACCAGCTCCATCACTCAGGAGAACAGGTCCTGTACCTCAGAAAGATAGCACATGAGAGTCAACCATGTTGGCAGATGTATAGGTAAACCAGGTCTGAAGTTGTGAGCATGGCAGAACTGTCCTATTACTCATCTCTCTTGTGGCAGCATGGGCAGGGGAGAGTTGTCCCTCTCTGTTACCCATAAATTTCCCAATATGCACACCATCTTTGATCTATTGGAAGATGTGAAGGGACCTTATTCACAGACCCAAAGCTTCAGGATCTCCAAAACACTGGACAACAACAGGATATCTAAGAAAAGTCCCAGTGATCATCCAGAATCAAAAGTACAGTAGAATCCAAAGCACTCCTACTAGATCAATGACTCTTGGAATGAACACTTTCACCAAAGATAAATATACAAGGGAGTTTACTGTGTGACTCAGTGTGTACCACTAGAGCTTCCCCTCCTTAAAAAAGTTTGTTGGGTTTTCTCTCTGTTTTTTCTTTTTCTTTTAAATTTTGTTTTATTTGGAGGGGTACAGAGGTAGAGAGATAATACAAGGTGATAGGGAAAGGAATAGGATCAAGTACATGATGTAAAATACAAACAGAATAAATAAAAATAACATTAAAAAGATGACGTCTTTCTAACAAAATACAAAATATAAAAGCCATTGCACTAGAGAAAGGAAATTGTTATTGTAAACCATTTAGGTAAATTAAAAAACACAGCTCAGTAGTTAGTCATCTATAACAATAAATCTTATATTCATGTTAGGTATATTTTCAAAATCTTCTAGAGACACATTTTAGATAGATTTATGGTCCTCAAATACTTCCAATATCAAAGAATATGGCATTTAAAATGTTTTGTCAACATAGGACCTTTTATGACAGTGAGACACATCTACTAGCAACACCAATGTATTTCATAAAAGAATGGTGGGCTCAAAGAACCTCCACTTTGAGCTTGATTTCCTTGTGGAAATTCTAGTAATTTGGGGAAGAAACTGCTCTTGCCTCAAGTGCTAACAGCATATCATCCAAACTGGACAAGTGGGACACAAAAGAAAAAGTCTCCTGAAACTTGCCAAGATAAAGTGGGCAGTCTTTCAAATTTTCTACTTTATAGAAAAGTCTACCAGACATTTTGAAGGCACAGAAGAAAGCAACTGACAACTTTATCAAATCAAGGTGGTAAATCCTTCAAAATTCCTGTTTCATTGAAAAGTCTATGAAAAGATCTTAGACTGAAGGCCAAAGACAGATGGCTATTTCAGAGGAACATGGAGTAAGTGTCCAGGCAGCCAGATGATTGTCATTTCTAGAGTTTTGAAAGTGACTTGCACAGAACTTCCTATTTACTCAGGCAATATTGTATCATTTTGTGGACTTTCTTGGAGTTGAGGACTAGTTATAACTATAATTTTCCTTAATTATAATAGAACAGAAATTAAATACATTACTTTGGATTCACCAATACGTGGTAAATAATGCAGTATTTTCTCTGAACTTGACAAATGCAAATTGACTAGATAATGTGAATGTAATACTTACTTGATAGCTTGTATTATTGCATACATTTTTACTATTTTAAAGTTAAGACCCCTTTTTATTTAGACAAAATGGAGGAATGTTGTGTAATACTACATTAACTAGCAAAGATGAGTCATATTTGTTTATCCTGTGGAATATTACCTTGTCTAAGCTATGTTTCATTTGTTTATGCTGCATTTGTTTAATTATGTAAAGGTATGCTGCATTTTTTTCACCTAGTTTGCCTAAGGCACCTATTTAGTTTAATTAAAAGTTATGGCAATGAATAGGAAGGAGATGGATAGGTGGGGCAGGGAGGCAGAAAGAATAAATAGAAAAAGTAGGCTTGAACAAAGGAGGAGTGAATGAAGGAGAAAGAGGGAAATACCCTGGGCAGAAACTAGTCAGCAACAAGTCAGACAAAAGAACCAGTAAAATTAAGCTAGAAAGAAAGAAAGAAAGAAAGAAAGAAAGAAAGAAAGAAAGAAAGA